CGGCACCCCCGGCACCCCCGGCCCCGCTCACCCCGGCCCCGGGACCCTCGGGCAGTCCCTGCCTGCGCCGGCTGTGGATGAACTTTTCCGGCTTGCGTGCGGTGACGGGGCTGGGATGGGCTCCAGCCACCCCAGAGCCGCCCCCCGCCCTGGCGCCGAGCAGCCCCATGCCCGGGGGCAAACAGCCGGGCTGGCACGGCCGTGCTGGGGGCTGCTGCCGCTCCTCCGTGGGTGCTTGGGTCCCCCGCACTCCGCTCCCGGTGCAGCGTCCCGAGGGGAAACTGAGGCACGGCTCTCCTGCGGATGCTGCGCATCCCGGCTGGCTCCAGCTGTGCATCCCGGCTGGCTCCAGCTGTGCTGTCCTGCCCAGCCAGGGCCTTGGTGGGGCTTCTGGGAATGGCACGGAGCCACCTGGAGATGGCCGGCCCGGCTGGACACCTCATGCTGCGCTGTGCTGGGGTGGGAACCCTCTCCTGCCGTGCCAGCCGCGGGGAGCTCGGGGTGGGCACGGTGTGGGGCTGGCATCCCTCGGCTTTCCCGGCCTCCTTCCCGAGGTGAGGCAGCCCCACGTTTCTCCTGGGCCTGGGAAGGGAGGGAGGGAGGGCTGCCACCCCTCCCGTCCCCTCCCGTCCCCTCCCGTCCCATCCCGGGTGTCTCCGGCCCCGCAGCAGCGCTCTCCCGGCGCTGGCCCCAGCAGGATTCCCGGTCCCCGGCAGGAATGTGCCGGGGGGTTCCGGCCCCCCGCCCGCCGGGGCCGCTTCCTCTTTCGCCGCTATTTAAGCGGCTCCCGGCGCGTCCCGCCCGGCCGGGCCATGGAGCGCATGGAGGTGACCGAGACCTTCGCGGGCATCGCCCTGCCCGGCCACCTCCACACCCAGGAGTCCCTCGGCTTCGCCGCCGCCTTCGCCTTCCGCCCCACCGACGTGCTCATCGCCACCTACCCCAAATCGGGTGAGGGCATGGGGGGACACGGGGACAACGAGGGGATGTGGCAGGACAGGGCTGGGACACCGGGCAGCAGCGGGGAGATCTTCCCGGGGTGCCGGGGGGTGGGAGACACCCGGACCCGGTCCCCGCGGGCACTCTTTGGCACGGCACGGGCACCGCTGGCCAGCAGGTCCTGCCCTGAGCCCCTGGCCTGCTGCCCTCCCGTCCCCGGCCCCAGACTGGTGTCCCTGGGGGTCAGGGAGGGGGCACATGGCACTGCCAGCCCGGCCGCTGGTACGGGGGGGTTGGGAGGGATGGGATGGGATGGGATGGGATGGGATGGGATGGGATGGGATGGGATGGGATGGGATGGGATGGGATGGGATGGGATGGGATGGGATGGGATGGGATGGGATGGGATGGGATGGGATGGGACAGCCTGAGCCCTGCCTCGCTGTGCCAATCCGCGCTGTGCCATACAGCGCCATGCTGTGCCAATCCATGGTGCCAGGCCCGTGGCCCTGCCCTGACGCCCACCCCTGCAGGCACCACCTGGATGCAGGAGATCCTGACGCTGCTCTTCAGCCTCGGCGATGCCCGCCCGGCCAAGACCATCCCCAACTGGGAGCGGGCGCCCTGGCTGGAGCAGATCTACTGCCGGGAGGCGCTGCGGGACACCGACACCCCGCGGCTCCTCACCTCCCACCTGCCCGCCCACGTCCTGGCCCCCGCCCTGCAGCGCAGCAAGGCCAAGGTGAGAGGGGGCCCCGCTGGTCTGGGGGTCCCTGCGGGGACATCTCACAGCTGGGGAAATGCTGGGGGCTTTCTGAGCGGGGTGGAGGGGAATCCCCCCGCTGTGGGGGTGACGCTGCGTCCCTCCAGGTGATCTACGTGGCCAGGAACCCCAAAGATGTCGCTGTCTCCTTCTACCACTTCCACCACCTGGCCAAGTTCCTGCCCGACCCCGGCTCCTTCGATGCCTTCCTGACGCAGTTCCTCGAGGGCACAGGTAGGGCCTGGGGGGGTCTGTGGGGGGACACTCGGCCTCTGGGCCCCCCATCACCCCCACCTCCCTCCCCCCAGTGCACTACGGCTCCTGGTTTGACCATGTCAAGGGCTGGCTGGGCCAGCGGCACCTCCTGGACATCCTCTACGTCACCTACGAGGAGCTGCACCAGGTGAGCCCCGCTGTGTCCCCGTCCTGTCCCCATCCCTGTCCCCATCACTGCCCGGTGCTGACCGTGCTCCTCCCCAGGACCTGCGCGGCACAGCGCAGCGCCTCAGCGGCTTCCTGGGGTGCCCGCTGGCACCGGGCACGCTGGCAGCCCTGGAGCAGCACTGCAGCTTCTCCGCCATGCGGGACAACGCCATGGCCAACTACTCGCTGATCCCCGCCGAGATCATGGACCACAGCCAGGGCCGCTTCATGCGCAAAGGTGCGGGGAAAGGGGCTGGGGGTTCTGGGGCACCGCGGGCACGGCAGCCCTGACTCCCTGTCCCTCTGTGCCACAGGGGTGGTGGGGGACTGGCGCAGCCACTTCTCCGCCGAGCAGAACGCCCTCTTCAACCGGCGCTACCAGGAGGAGATGGGGGGCACGGAGCTGCCCTCGCAATGGCCCATGGCCTGACGGAGCAGGGCTTTGGGGGGCGCTGAGCCCTCACCTGCTGACAACCCCCACCTGGAGACCCTGCAGGGACCCCTCAGGCACCCCATCAAACACCCCCCGTGTCACCCCGGCACACGGGCTGGGGGTTGTGGTGCGGGGCCGTGGCACCGTCCCACCTCGCTGGGTGCGGGGAACTTTTCCGGCCGTGCATTGTGGCCATCCCCGCTCTCCCCGGCCGGGGACGTGTGGCCCTGACCCCCCTTTCCGCCCATCCCGCCCTGCGGAAATAAATATTTATTGCTGTTCCCAGGCAGGCAGCAAATCCCACGGGTGTGAGGCGGGAAGAGCCGCTCTTATCAGGAGCGCATCGGGGTGGGGCCGCGTCCCCGGGAGCCGCAGTGACAATGGGGCAGTGACCGGGCGGGCACAGCGCGGCTGTGGCACGGAGTGGCTCTCCCGGCAGCACCCAGGGTCCTACCCCCGGAGTCTCCCTCCCAGCGATCCCCTTCCAGAACCCTCTGCCCCGACCACCCTGGCTGGGTGCTCCCCCTGCCCATCTCCCCTCCCGGGGTGTTGGCACGGAGGGGTTTGTCCCGCCTCCCCAGCACCCCGGGGTGTCCCAGGCAGGCAGCACCCCGAGCCCCCCAGCCCCTCTCCTGCCTGCCCCGTGGAGCCCCGTGCCAGCAGAGGCTCATCAATAAATCAATAATGAACCGGCTCCCTTAGCCTGCCCCTGCGGGGTGGGCAGGGTGGGGGCTTGCCCTGGCACCAGCAGGACCCTGGGCGAGGGCTGGCTGAGAGGGGACAGCTGGCGAGACCCTCCGTGGGGTCTGTGGCACTGTGGGACGGTGGCACCGGTGTCCTGCCACTGCTGCCCCTCTGCCAGCCGTGTCACCCCGCCACCTCTGCCAGCCCCTCCTGCCGGCGGGGACAACCCAGCGTGGTGCCTCCGGACCTTCCCAGCCCCGTGGGGTCCCTCTGCAGCCAGCCTGGGGCACCCATCTGTCCCCATGGGTGGGGTGCCAGGACCGGCCCTGCTGCAGGTTTGGGTTTCCACGGCAACACTCGGGATCCGCCTGAAAGGGGATGGATCGGGAGCTGTAAATAGGGGCTGGATGGGGGTGCGGGTACCGCGCCCCTGCCCGTCCCTGCGCTGCAGCAGCGCCCCAGGGCAGCAGAGCTGTCCCGCAGAGTGACACCCGCATGGGGCCAGCCTGGCAGCTGTGCCCGCACCAGGGGGATGGCAGCATCCTACCCCCTGAGGCTGTGCCAGGCTCCAGTTTCGGTCCCTGTGGTGGCTTTGGGCACACTCTGCTCCTGGGCATGCTGCCTTGCCAGGAACATCTGCCGGCACCATGAGCACACAGCGCGTGGCAGCAGCGTGGCACGGTGCCCGGCACATGGCACGTGGCACAGCACATGCATGGCATATGGAACATGGAATATGGCAAAGGAATATGGCACCGGGAACGGGGCACACAGGACATGGCACACGCAACACATGACAAGTGGCACAGAGCACACGACAAATAGCACATGGCACAGGGAGCATGACAGGGCACACAGCGCCTGGCACACGGCAGTGCACATGTCACACGGGACAGATGCACGGAGTATGCCACACTGCATGGCACATGGCATGTGGCACACGGGACAGACACGTGGGACATGGCACACAGTGCACGGCACATGGCACGTGGCACACAGCACACACACACAGCACATACATGGCACACGGAACACAGCTGGGGACACACGGTGTGAGGGGTGTGGCACAGGGCACACTGCCCATGGTGTGTGGCACATGGTACAGGGCACATAGCACAGGGCACACAGCCCATGGCATGTAGCATGTGGCACATGGCACATGGCATGTGGCACAGGGCACACGGCACACAGCACATGGCACACAGCCCAGGGCATGTAGCATGTGGCACATGGCACATGGCATGTGGCACAGGGCACACAGCACAGGGCACACAGCCCAGGGCATGTGGCACATAGTACATGGCACACAGTACATGGCACAGGGCATACAGAACACGGCACAGGGCACACAGTACATGGCATGTGGCACACGGCACAGGGCACAGAGCACATGGCACACAGCACATGGCACACTGCACATGGCATGTAGCACGTGGTACATAGCACATGGCATGTGGCACAGGGCACATGGCACAGGGCACACAGCCCGTGGCACACAGCACATGGCACATGGCATGTGGCACAGCGGGCCGAGCCCCCGCTCTGGCACATCAGAGCCTCCGGCGCTCCCGGCTCGCTGCCAGCCGCGGCCACCCGAAATGGGGGGGCTGGCACTGCCCTCGGCTGTCCCCACCGGGTGGGGTGGCACGGTGTCACCGGGCACGGCAGCATCCAGGCGCTGCCAGCCTCTCCATCCAGGCGCTGCCAGCCTCTCCACCCAGCCCCGGGGCAGGGGTTGGCACGCAGAGAGCAGCAGGGTGGGCACGGGGGTGGTGCTTTATTGGGGGGATCATGCAGCCTCCAAACACCGCGGTGACAGAGAAGCGGGGACCAAGGGGACCGAGGGGACAGCGGGGGGGGGTCCGGGCCACAGGCGCAGACCAGCGGGGTTGGGCAGTGCTGGGGGGGCCGGGGTGTCCCCATGTCCCAGCCGGGGGGGCTGTGGCAGGGCAGGGCCTGGCGGGGACCCCGTGAGTCCCCAGGCCACCGGGACAGAGCGGGGGTCTCGCTGGGGCACGTTGGGACCGGGGGTTCACTGGGGCAACCCAAAGCTGGGGGGCACTGGGGGTGTCTCACGGGGGGAGCCGAGGCTGGGCTCGGGGCTCGGGGGTCCCTCAGTGGGGAAAGGCGAGGTTGGGGCGCGGGGGTCCCTCAGTGGGGAAAGGCGAGGTTGGGGCTGGGGGGTCCCTCAGTGGGGAAAGGCGAGGTTGGAGCTGGGGGGGTCCCTCAGTGGGGGGAGCCCAGGCTGGGCTCGGGGCTGGGGGGTCGGGGGCAGCGCGGGGGGAACGCTTTGTAGCTGTAGTACTCCACCACCTGCTTGGGCACCTCCGCCAGCACGCACTTGGCCAGGGCTGTGGGCGACGCCTGCGGGACACCGGGACACCGGGACACCGGGCTGAGCCGCGGGACACCGGGACACCGGCACACCGGGACACCGGGACACCGGGCTGAGCCGCGGGACACCGGGACACCGGGACACCGGGCTGAGCCGCGGGACACCGGCTCCCCGCGCCGCCAAGTGCGGAGGGGACGGGAGAGGACCGGAGGGACAGAAAGGGACGGGAGGGAGGAGATGAATGGGAGAGGGAAAGAGGGGACGGGAGGGGATGGAAAGGGCCGGGAGGGGACAGGAGGGGACGGGAGGGGAGGGAAGGGCCGGGAGGGGATGGAAAGGGCCGGGAGGGGACAGGAGGGGATGGGAGCAGAGAGGAGGGAAGGGAAGGGCCGGGAGGGGCAGGCAGGGACAGGCAGGAGCTCGTGGCCGCCCCACTCACGTTCTTGAACTCGCGGAACGGGACGAACTGGACGATGTCGCGCAGGACGGGCTCGCCCTTGGGGGAGCGCAGGACACCATCGTCCCCGTCCAGGATCTGCATGTCGGTGAAGTCGGCGTTGCCCACGCCGACGATGATGATGGACATGGGCAGGTAGGAGGCGCGGACGATGGCCTCGCGCGTGTCCGCCATGTCCGTCACCACGCCGTCCGTCAGGATCAGCAGGATGAAATATTGCTGGGGGGACAGGGACGCTCGGGGGCTGCCTGACCCACAGCCAGCCCCTCACGAGGGTCACCAATGTGCGAGGTCTCGGCCCAGCCCCGGCGGGGCACAGGGACCCACCGACGCCTCCTTGGTCCGCTCCTCGTCGGCTGCCACGCGAGCCACCTTGGAGATGATGGGGGCCACGTTGGTGGGGCCGTAGAGCTGGATCTTGGGCAGGCAGCTCTGGTAGGACTCCACCACGCCCTGGATGCCTGTGGGGTGTGTGAGGGGTGAGGGGCATCCCAGCCATGGATCCGGCCCCTCTGGAGCTGGACTCACCCTCACACTCATCGTTGTCGGGGTTGAAGTTGATGGCGAAGTCGTGGGAGACCTGGAGGGAGGGAGGAAGAGGAGGGGCAGCTGGTGCAGCCCCTACCACAGCCCCCGGCATCTGCCGAGCCCCACCAGTGCCACAGCCGAGGATACCCAGAGGGACGAGAACATCCCCGGGGTCCCACGGGGCCCTGAGACCCCCTCACCTCGTACTTGGGGGGGATCCTGGCACCGAAGCCCAGAGCTGAGAATTTCTTATCGCTGCAAGGGAAGGGCTGTGAGGAGCCCCGGTGCCAGCACTGAGTGCCTGTCACCAGCAGATCCCGACCCAGAGTGGACATCACCAGCGTGTGTGTGGCCCCGGGAGACCTGCCAGAGCCACCAACCTGTCGTAGTCCTGGCAGATCTCGCCCACGGCCACCAGTGCCTTGAGGTACTCGTTGGGCTGGTAGGGGTTGATGTAGTGCAGGGAGCAGCTGTTCCGGGGGTCCCCGTTGGAGGCCGTGAAGTCGATGGCCACCTGGCGGGGGGCAGTGAGGGTCCCCAGGGTGAGCAGGGCCACCAGTGTGTCCCTGCGGGGCGCGGAGGGGACGCTGCTCACCGTGAAATGGATCTGGCAGCCGCCCATGATGTAATCCAGGAAGGAGTAAACCCTGTGGATCTTCCAGAGGGATCTGCGTCAGGCGGCCCACGGAGCCGGGCATGGCCTGGCACGGCCTGGCACGGCTCCCAGGTACTCACCTTCAGGTCCAGCAGCACCACGACCCCCGAATTCTTATAGTTGCGCTTCTTGATCTTGTACTTGGGGTTCATGCAGTCCCACTGCACCTGTGGCACGGCACCCGCGCTGCCTGCAGCCCCCGCCGGGGCACCCCCGGTGCCACTCGGCCCCGTGGGGACCCCACGGCCCCGGGGGCCCAGTGACCCTGCACCCCCAGGCCCAGGGTGCGGCTGCCTTCCCCCACTCCCAGCCACACCCCACCCGTGACTCCCCAGAAGACCCCAAACCCACCATCCCTTCCCCAAACAGGAGGGCAACAAGAAGAAAATGATGCCAAACCCAGAGGAGGAGCTGGAAGGTGGCTGCTAGGACAGGCTCTGCTGGCAGCACACAGGGTGACCCTCAGGCCATCCCCGTGTCCCCATGTCCCACCTTGTTCTCCCCCATCGCCTTCTGCATCTCCTCGAAGGTGGTGAAGAACTCCCCGATGAAGTCGTGCTTGCCCCGCGAGTCGTAGTCCCACACCACGCACTGCGATGGGCACGGCTCAGCCCTGGCACCAGGGGGGCTCAGCCCTGGCACTAGGGGGGCTCAGCCCTGGCACCAGGGGGGCTCAGCCCTGGCACCAGCACACCCCCAGGGGAGCTGGGGCACAGATGCCCCCAGGGCAGGAATAGAGGTCTTCATCATTCTTCCTCACCCTCAGCTTCCTCTTCTCCTCACAGCTGCAGAGCGAGTTGAGGGAGACTTTGAAGGGCTCCCAGATGGGGCTGAGGTTGTTCTTCACCACCTGCAGGAGGGGGGTGGGGGGCTCAGCGGGGCCGGGGAGCCCCGGGGCGGCGGGGGCCCGGTGCCGCCGTGCCCCACCTCGGTGCGGTACACCAGCTGCTCGCTGCGGTCGTCGTCGATGCGGTAGATCTCCAGGAAGGGATCTGACTTGCTGAAGAGGTCCTGGGGGAGGAGGATGGGAGGGAGCAGTGCCCACCCTGCCCACCCTGTCCTGTGTCCCCCCTGGCACCTGGCTCACCTTGTCGTCCAGTTTCTTGGCGCGGAAGGCGAGCTCCACGTAGCCGTTGTTCCCCGAGATCTCCTCCGAGATGATCTGAGAGGTGGCGCAGATGCTCAGAGCCTGGCACAGCTTTGCCCCCCTGCCCACCACCTCCCTGTGGTGCCCTGGGAGGGGACAGGGTCCCACGTGCCTCCCCAGCACAGGAGGGGCCTTCAGGATGGCCAGCAGGTGCCATCTGGGACCCTGAGCCCTCCCCAACTCCAAGAGTCTGTGCCACCCTAATAATCCAGTCCAGTGCCACCCAGGTGTCCCAGTTTGATGCCGTCCCAGTGCCATCCACGTGTCCTGTCTGGTGCCATCCCGGGATTCCAGCCCCACGTCACCTGCACACCCCATCCTGGTGCCACCCACGGGCCTGGGTTTGGTGCCACCCCAGTGCCCCTGCTCAGTGTCACCCACCCCAGTGTCACCCACGTGCCCGGGTTTGGTGCCACCGCAGCGCCCCTGCCCGGTGTCACCCACCCCAGTGCCACCCACGTGCCCGGGTTTGGTGCCACCCCAGCGCCCCTGCCCGGTGTCACCCACGTGCCCGTGTTTGGTGCCACCCCAGCGCCCCTGCCCGGTGTCACCCACGTGCCCGGGTTTGGTGCCACCCCAGCGCCCCTGCCCGGTGCCACCCGCCCCAGTGCCGCCCCCGGCGCGGCGCTCACCGTGATCGTGGACTTGCCCGCGAACTTCCCGTACTTGAGGAACAGCGGCTTCGTCACCCGTTTCTGCGCCACGATCTGCGAGAGCCCAGCGTTGGGGAGGGGACATCGCTGCGGGGTCCCCGGGGGTGCCCAGGCTCACCTGCCCCACGGTGCACTCCGTGCCCCCCAGGAAGTCGTCGTCGTGCGTGCCCACGCCGGCCTGGCCGTGGCTGTCGTACACCTCGAAGCGCAGCTTCTGCACCTCCTCGAAGTAGTAATCGACCGTGAAGATCTTGGCGAAGACGGGGTTCAGGTTGCTCTTGATCACCTCGCTGCGATCCACCTGCGTGGCATTGGCACAGGGCCTTGGGGGGCAGAGCTCACGGGGATGGGGGAGGCGGCGTGGGGAGGCAGGGGGGCGGGATGGGCTGTTGTGAGGGGACATGGAGGGATGGGACGTGCCAGGCTGAGGGGTACAGGGGTGAGAGAGTGAAGGATGAAGGGACAGGGGTGCAGGAACAGGGAATGCAGTGAAGGACCCGCTGTGCCCGAGTGAATGGCATTTGGAGGAGCCCCTTGTGCCCCCCACAGCCCCCAGCCCTGCCAGCCCTGGGTCTGGGACGCTGCTCCCACTGGGCTCCCTGTGCTCATCCACGGGGATACTCTGCCCCAGCTCAGCTGTGGGCTGGTGCCAGGACACGCTGCTGTGCCCATCCTGGGGTGACCATGCCTGGGGGTCACCAGCCCCAGCCCTGGTGGCCCCGGCGGGCAGCGGGTGCTGAGCAGTTCCAGAGCCTCCCCCGCAGCCGTCCCTGCCAGGTTGACTCAAGGGGACACATCCTGGCCAGGGCACCCTGCCAGCCCTGGCCCCTGCCCACTGCCTGCCCAGTCCAGCATCATCTGCCAAGCCCACACTGCTGCCACCCTGCCGTGGCCACCAGCGTCCCTCTGCACGGGCAGCCCCTGATCCTGGGGATGGGGGTGTTGGGTCCTGGCACCCCCCGGACCCAGGGCAGAGCCAGGTTCGGGCACCCCCTCATCTGGGGCACACAGGCACAGGAGTCACTCCAAAAGGCGGCTCAGGAGGTCCCTCCTGCCTCTGGGAGCTGGCTGGTGCCTGGCACAGAGTGTGGCACGGAGCACCGTGGCACAGCCGGGTGCGAGTGTCTGCATGGCACGGCACACCGCGGCTGGCACGGGGCCCCTGTCCCCCACTCCCCGGTGCCCGCCGGCTCCAGCAGAGCCGATGACACGCGAGGGTTTAGCGCTAAATCCGCCGCTGAGCGGTCGCGATTAGAGCGGAGCCGCCGCTGCCAGCCCCGAGCTCAGCGTGGGGAGGGATGGAAGGAGCCGTGCCAGCCCCAGTGCCATCCCGGTGTCTGCCAGCCCCACTGCCAGCGTCAGCACCAGCCCTCCAGCCCTGCGCCACCCCAGCGGGAGCTGAGATGTCCCTTGTCCCTGTCCCGGGGCAGTGGAGCCACTCGGGAGCTGCTCCCCGGCCCCGCTGCAGCCCCACAGCGAGCTGGATGTGACCCAGTGTTGGCACCATCCCCACGGGCTGCCGGGTGCCCCACGGTGCCCTGCCCACCCTGCCGCACCCCCGGGACCCCGTTCTGCACTCTGCAACCTGTTCTGCACTGTGCACCCTACTCTGCATCATCTCCTGCACCCCATCCTGCACCCTGTACCCTGTTCTGCACCTCGCACCCCGTTCTGAACCCTGTACCCCGTTCTGAACCCTGTACCCCGCTCTGAACCCTGACCCTTCATTGTCTCCTGCATGTGGTCTGAACCCTGCAACCGGTTTTGCACCATGCACCCTACTCTGCACCATCTCCTGCACCCCTGCTCTGCACCCTGTACCCTGCTCTGAACCCTGCACCCTGTTCTGCACCCTGTACCCTGGTCTGAACCCTGCACCCTGTTCTGCACCTAGCACCCCTTTCTGCACCCTGTACCCCGGTCTGCACTGTCTCCTGTACCCTGCTCTGAACCCTGTACCCCATTTTCCTTTATCTCCTGTACCCTGCTCTGAACCCTGTGCCCCATTTTCCCTTATCTCCTGTACCCTGCTCTGAACCCTGTGCCCCTTTCTGCACCCTGTACCCTGCTCTGAACCCTGTGCCCCTTTCTGCACCCTGTACCCTGCTCTGAACCCTGTGCCCCTTTCTGCACCCTGTACCCTGCTCTGAGACCTGCACTCTGCTCCCCACCAGCTCCTGCACCCTGACCCCCGTTCTGCACCCTGCACCTCGCCCCCCACCATCTCCCGCACCCCACCCTGCAGCCCCCTGCACCCACCGCCCTGTGCCCAGCCCCGCCACGTCCCGGCTCGGTGGGTGCCAGCGGTGCCCCCCGCTCTCCTACCTCCATCCACTGGCCCTGGGACTGCATCAGCAGCAGGACGCAGGGGTCCGACTTGTTGAGGGTGTCGCGGTCCAGGAGGTGTTTACAGCTGACCCGCAGCTCCACCTTGGACAGCACGGCCAGCGGGGCCTGCGGGCACGGCTCGGGCACGCCGCCCATGCCGGCCGGGCGCGGCCGGGCACCGGCGGCCCCGTGGGCGAAGGGCATGGGGGGCGAGCGGGGCGGCCGCGGCCTCGGGCGCCGTCAGGGAGCCGGGCAGGTGCCCGTCATGCCCGGGGCACGGTCCCGGTGGCAGGACAGGCGTGGGGCAGAGGGGCCCCGGGCCACCCTCCGAGGTGGGGTGGTCGGTTCCAGTCCCGATGGCTCCGCGGGGCCCTGCAAGGCATCAAAGCGCAGCGGGGTGAGGGGAGCCGGGCACCTCGTGGCACTGCCCGGGTACCCCCAAGTGCCAGCCAACACCATGGGCAGGGCTGTGGGGGGCTCACACGGTCCTGCAGGGCCGTGCCCAGCTCTGTCCCAGCCCCACCCCAGGGCAGGATGTGTCCCGAGGGGAGGGGGGACCTAAGTGGGGTGGGGTACCCACCCTGGAGCGCTCCGTGTGGGGCTGTGGAGCAGAAACCCCCTCCACTCCCTGGGCAGGGCTCTGCGGAGGGGAGCGGGGACACCAACTCCGTGTCTGTGGCACCGGGTGACACGTTCCCCCCGTGCTGGGGACAGCGTCCGTGCTGCCCCCGGAGCCTGGCAGCACCCTGCCCACCTGTGCCCTCGCTGCCCAGCCCGCCCGAAGTTTCCTGGGGAAGTCACGCAGTGCCCGGGCCCTCCCGGCACACGGCTCCGGTGCCCCAGCTCCGGTGGGCACCGTCCCCATCCCCGGGATGGCAGGCACCCCTTGGCATCATCCATCGCTCGGTGGAGGGGACAGCGGGTCCCACCCTGCCCGTCGCCCCCTCACCTGGGTGCTGGTGGCCTGGGCTGGGACACGGCAGGGCAGGGGCTGGCTCGGGGCGTGCCCGCCGTGCCGGTGTGCCCAGTGTGCCCGGTGTGCCGGTGTGCCCGCCGTGCCGGTGTGCCGGAGCTGCTGCCGCTGCCACCTCCACACAACTGACTCAAGCTGCAGCTCGGGAGCGGAGCCCTGAGAGGGAGATGGATGACAAGCTCCGTTAACTGCCTCGCTGCCGGCTCCGCAGCGGAGCCCACCCCGCCCCGGGGCTGAGCGGGGTCCGCAGGGTCCCCAGCACCGCCGGCCGTGCCAGGGCAGGAGCTTCTGCTCCAAGTGAGACCCCCATGGCACAGCCACCGCCCCCCACCCTCCCCAGCCGCTCCCCCTGGGGTACCCAAGGCCACCTTGGTCCTGCCCCCCACAGCCCATACCCAAGGGTGGGGTCCCCCCAAACCCAGCGGGATCCCTCCCCACATGCTGGAGCATCCAGACCCACATTCCATGCACATGGAGCCCCATGTGCTGAGTCCCCAGCCCGGGACCCCCCACCCACCCCTGTCCCCCCAGCACTGCGGTGCTGTCAGCCCAGCTTTCTGAAGATGATGTAATTAGCTCAAATTTGGAGGGATTAAAATGCAGACAGGGCTAACAAGCACGAGGGCAGCGCAGGGCCCGGGCTTCGGGAGCTAATCCCCAGCCTGCCTGGCAGAAATAGGCCACTCTCCTTCCCACTCCCCCCACAGCCCCAGCACGGCTCGGTAGGGCAGGAGGCACCAACACACAGCAGGACATGGGCTGGGCACAGGGGCTGGAGGGACACCGTGGTAACTGGACACAGGCAACACCTCAGCAGGCTTATCTTGCCTCTTTGAAGTGCCCAGGAACCATGCGGGTGTGCCAGGACTCCAGCACTGAGTGCCCCATCCCATCCCATCCCATCCCATCCCATCCCATCCCATCCCATCCCCATCCCCATCCCCATCCCCATCCCCATCCCCATCCCCATCCCCATCCCCATCCCCATCCCCATCCCCATCCCCATCCCCATCCCCATCCCCATCCCCATCCCGGGTGAGTGCTCCTGGAGCAGCTCTGGCCCCACCAACACATCCCAGTGACCCATCAGCCCTGCCCAGGGACAGCCAGTCTGGGATTCCCCCAAAGCCACGAGGATTGGCCAGAATCCCCCAGTTTCTCCTGAGCTCCTGTGGCGCCACTTGAAGTATCACAGAATCATTTGGGATGGAAAAAGACCCCAAGATCAGTCCACCCACTCCCGAGTACTGCTGAGGCCACCACCACGTCCCCAAGTGCCACATCTACTACGATATGGCCTTTAATCCATGCAGAAATGGCTGCAAGTGCCCTAGAACTGGAGCAGGGGCTGAGCCAAGGGCCAAGGAGTGCAGGACGGCACAGCAGCACAGTCCAGCCCTGGAATTGGCTCCATCCAAGCCAGGTGAGGGGCCGGGCCACACCTTGCTCCCCCTGTGCCCCTCCAAAAGTGGGGAAAGCTCCCCATGTGGGCAGCACCTGCGTGACACCCATCTTGTACAGCTTTGCTCACACAGAGGTATGGAAATCATCAGACCAGGAACACTGGCACGGAAGGCAGGGAAGGGGCAGCAGCCAAAGCCTGGCATGGAGGGGGAACTCCCAAAGCCCCTGAGAATCAGAGCAGAAGGCAGCCCAGGCTGCAGCCCTGACAAAGCAGAGGAGTGGGCACAAGGCAGGTGTTTAACTCGCTGTCAAGGAAATGTGGAGCCTCCAATCACGGCAAACGAGGCTTCCCACGCTGGAACACGTCCCTGTACCTCCACGGGCACATGGGGCGGCTCCGCTCGGTACATGTGCCCCAAAACCACAGCACACTGGGCTCTCTACGGCTTTTTATTGACAGTTCTGGGGAGAACAGTTCATTTCTTCTTCTCCACGTCCTGCTCCGCCGCTTCCTTGGCGCGCTTGGCGCGGATGCCGAAGAGGCGGGCGTTGGCCCGGGCCATGCGAAGGCTGGCAAAGGCCTTGAAGTTCTTCTCATCTTCCGAGATGACACGCGCCTTCTCCCGCTTGAACACCTGTGGAGAGAGCGCCAGACAGTCAGGCTGCCCCTCGGAGGGAGCCCAGGCTGCCCACCAGCATCCCTGCGGGAACGGAGCGCTTACAGGCCCTGCCCTCAGCCTGCTCCGCCGGGATCTGCCCTCCCGCCGCTCCTCAATGGAGCACGAATAAAAACAAGCACCACGGGAAGCCTGAGTCAGGTTTCACAGAATCGCAGCTTTGTTAAGCTTGGTAAAGACCTTTAATAGCGAGCCCAACCATGGCTACCACCAACCATATCCTCAAGTGCCACATCCACGTGTTTTTTCAGCACTTCCAAGGATGGGGACTCTACCAACTGCCCTGTGCACTTGTGCCAGGCATGGACAGCCTGGACAGCGAAGCAATTTTCCTACTATCCAACCTAAACCTTCCCTGGCACAGCTTGAGGCTGTTTTCTCTAGTCCTGTCACTTGTCACCTGGAAGGAGAGCCTGACCCCACCCTCCCTGCTTCACCTTCCTGTCAGGGAGTTGAAGGGAATGACTAGAGGTTTGTGACACTACTGACAGCAGCTCTGGGAAGCAGAGAGGATTTAGGGACAAATAGTGACCATAAAACCTGCCTGAGCACTCCCACCGCAGCTGAACCCAAAGCACCCCCAGTTTCACAGTTCTCTCAAAGACTTATTCCTGGGTTTTTTTGATCCAGGACGGGCAATGTCTGCAGACAGCCACCCCCAGCTGTGAGGCAGCAAGGACAGAACCCTCTCTGCAAGTCCAACCTCAATCACACATGATGAAATGACACTTACGTTCTTGATGGGCATGACAGGTCCTGTGAGCTGAGTGGCCATCTTGAGTTCCTCTGGCTGCGCAACAGAAGATGGGAATGTTAGAAGAACACAATTTAAACTTCTCCAGCTAGAACCTCAGCTAAAGCACAGCCTGCATGCAGGTACACAGCTTAAACTTGGTGCTAATGATCCTGCCAGGAGCTCTAACACCGAACGGGAATGCAGCCAGCACGTCAGAGCGTTTGGCACTGATGAGCCGCACCAGCGACCCACGCTGTGCCCGGACCCAGCCAGAGCAGCAGCGACCACAGCTCTGCCAGCTGGGACAGCTCTGACACCAACTGTGCTGCTCCCAATTTGCACAGCATCACAGGATCATCGAGGTTGGATCATCCAGTCCAAGCTGTGCCCGATCCTCACCTTGTCACCAGCTCAGAGCACTGAGTGCCACATCTGCTCCTTCCTTGGACACCTTCAGGGATGGGGACTCCAAACCTCCCTGGGCTGCCCCTGCCAATGCCTGACCACTCTCTCCAGGAAGAAATTCCTGATGTCCAACCTGAACCACATTCCCTGGCACAAACTGAGGCCATTCCCTGAGCCTCCTCTTCTCCAGGCTGAGCCCTCACAGCTCATATACACCAAACATGTTCCTCAGCAACTCCTTAGGTGGATTCCAGCTTTTTGTAAGAGCATGTCATCAGACAAAAATGACTGAACGTTTACTGAATACAGCTGACTTCCAGCAAACACATGTTAAATCAGTGTTTCAGCTCCAGGCTCTTCCTCCTGCTCTAAAGATGGAGTTAAGCATCTTGGAGCTGCCAGATTCCCCACAAGATGGGAGGACAGCCTGAACTCACCCTTGTGTTCCCTGGATCTACTGGCAGCAGAGCCAGGGAACACAGCTCTGCTCTGATCCTGGAGAGGTTTTAATGAAAACCATTTTTGAATGTCAATAACAACCACCTTCTGGAGCCTGGCTGGCACACAGCTCGGGAGCCACTCACAGCCTGTCCCTCAGCCTTCCACCAGCAGGACTGGCTCCAAGGGGAATTTCCAGCCATTGTGATAATTTAGCTCTCTAAACTAAAATTCAACTGGCTGAGTGAGGAGCAAAACTCGAGGAATCAGCACCAAAACAAGCCAGCAGCTGCTCAGCCACATGCCTGGCTCAGAACCACGGGGTTCACACAACGGGGAAGGCTCAGGGGCTGTGCCTGACACCCCTCCCAGAGCAGGACACACTTCCAGCAGTCAGGTACTCACAGAGCTGTCTCCCTTCTTGGGCATGGCTGGCTTCCTCGGGAAGAGGATGAGCTTGGAGTGGTACTCCTTCAGCCTCTGCACGTTGGCCTGCAGGGACTCGGTGGACTTGTTCCGTCTCCGGGGATCCACGGAGATCCCTATAGTCCGGGCAAACTTCTTGTTGATGCCAGCGAGCTGAGGAGAGAGGAGGAGAGAGCGGTGTCAGCATCCCACAGCTCCCAGCAGCCAGGCAGGGATCCCAGCACAGCCAGCACGGGATGCAGGCTCTGGAGGAAGGCTGGGCTTCAGTGAGGGACCAACTATGCCACCAACAAAGGGTGTCCCGGTGCATCTTTGTGCTTAAAATGTTGCTCAGGCTGATTTTTGCAGGTGGATTTCCCCAGAGGAGCAAAGTGCAACCCCTGCAGGACACATTTAAACTCGGATTCAGATGTCTATGAGTCAGCTCACAGACAATTCTGGTTCACTGAATACTAGGAGCCCCATTAAATCAAGATTTCTTCCTAACCATCTGAAACAACCCTTAAATAACTATTTTAGACTACCTTAAACAAAAAACTCATTTTCTGTTTGAAGACAAACAGCTGCATCCTGCTTTGTGTTCCACCACTACCCAAATATTAAAGAAAAATAACTAATTAGGTATTTGGCACCCAGAAGAACAATCTCCCTGCCTCAGTGCACCAATTTCAGTTATAAATGCTTTAATTAAGACACTGAACCAGGCGCAGAGGCAGCTGGTGCTGCCAGCAAGCCCTGATGTGGAATCTGATCACAGATTCACACTGGGGGCCCTGCAGACCACCTTTAGCAGCTCAGCACACCTGGGCAGGTCACAGGGACAAGGCACCGAGGACAGGAAACATTTCCCACTTTAATCCAACTATTATTACTCCAGCTACTCTAAGATGCTGCGCTGAATGGTTCTTCCTCCTGGTACAATATCCTCTGCTAACCTTAGAAATAAAATGAGCTGAGTTTACTCGGTTCTTAACTGGAAACACTGGCTAAAATATTCAGAATTAGCAGAAAAATGTTTCCTAAAGAAACAATTTAATGAAGACAATCTCAGT